TATACTACTACTCTCTCTCTCTCTCTCTCTCTCTCTCTCTCTCTCTCTCTCTATATATATATATATATATATATATATATATATATATATATATATATATATATATATATGGTTTATTCGCAAATTGACATAAAACTAAAACAACATAGCAGCCTGATAATACAATGTAAAAAAGGCTGAATCACGCAATTTTTAGGGAACACACAATTGTACAAAATATCATCAATATTTACAAACATAACCAAGTTAAACTGAATGACAAGAATATACTAGTATACAAACAGTAGTTGGGTGATTACACAGTTATTTACATGTTGTACAGTAATGACCCGTGCAAATAAGTCTGGATGCCACGCGGAAGATACAGACGTTGGATACAGGCACCTTGAATCATGTCTGACATCAGTTTTTATGAAGCGCGTAATTAAGATTTGCGCGACGCTGTCTCCCGATCCTGCACGCCGCTTTGGAACTTTCCTCGCGCCGAGGAGCGTAAAATCCGCAGCGGTGAAATCAACAGCTACAAAAGCTGCTGCGAAAGGCCTTTCATGTCGGAGCGTTTCGCCCACGCGAGAGATTCTTGTCGGTTTTTGCTCGCTGTACACTCTAAAGATATCGGCCCGAGCGTCTCAATGGATGCCTTTTACAGCCGCGCTCGCGCAGACTAGGAGGCGCCACCGGGCTCTCACTTCGCCTGCTGGACAGAAAAGGTGCAAGTCAGCATGTAAGGGCTGAGAAGTAGGCAATCTCCTAACATCTATGGCCACTCAGGACAGTGACCATGTTCTTGGCATATATTTTCCAAACAATAATACTTTCCAAACAAGAAGAAGTCGGCACGTAATTAAGAGCTGAGAAGTAGGCAATCTCCTAACATTTTAAGCTACTCAGGGCAGTCACCATGTTCTTAGCAGGAAACTTTGTAAAAATAATAATAACACTACTGAACAAAAAAGGTGCAAGTCAGCAAGTAAGGGCCGAGAGGCAGGAAATCTTGTGACATCTACAACTCTTCAGGGCAGTGACAATGTTCTTGGCATATATTTTCTAAAGACGAAAATAAGATACAACCAAAGTGACTAGAGTTGCCTTGACTCAAAATTGATAAAAGGAAACTGACTGAATATTTTTACCACTTCGGCAACTGCTTTGTTCATGGCATGTTGCCCGGATGTTCGTGTAATGTTACCCGGATGTTATTGGCATGTTGCCCGGATGTGCAGGGAAGTTACCCGGATGTCGTGAGTTAAGTATGCGACAGGAGTCGTTAACGTTATCCTGTGCGCTGACTACCGGAGGAACGGCGTTCGTTCCACTTGTTTCTCACGGGCGGAATCCGCCGTGTGTGCGATAACGACTCGTCACGGGTTATCTAGTCTGACAGGAGGTATCATTCAAACTCCTGTCACACATACTAGCCGGGGGCTAGTTTTTCACGGTTTCCGATGGGTGTTAGGTCAACGTTGAATCAGATTTTTGCCCGTTCCAGACGATACAATAGTAGAAAACAACAATGAACAAAAAACAGATTGACCCTGAGACCACACCACCCTATGCATCTGGAATGTTTTTCATTGTGCCCCCCCCCCCATGTTTACTACGCCATGTGCTGTTGCTAGGTAACGGGATGTATTGCTAGGCAACAGAGTGACTACACGTGTTTGTGTCGTCTGCAGATTGACCTTGAGACCGCCCAGCTGCAATAGAAATGAAAATAATATTCTTTTCATAGTGCCTTCCCTTCTCAATGTTCTACGTCATGTACTGTTGCTAGGTAACGGAATGTGTTGCTAGGCAACAGAGTGACTAAACGTGTTTGTGTCGTCTGCAGATTGACCTTGAGATCGCCAAGCTGCAATAGAAATGAAAATAATATTCTTTTCATATTGCCGTCCTTTCCCAATGTTCTACGTCATGTACTGTTGCAAGGTAACGGAATGTGTTGCTAGGCAACAGAGTGACGTGTTTGTGTCGTATGCAGATTGACCTTGAGGCTGGCCTGCCCCATGCAGCTGCAGCGGTTTCCCATGGACCACCAGATCTGCATCATGCAGCTGGAGAGTTGTAAGTAACCTTTTTTTATTCATTCACATATATTTTACAGGAATCACTTATTAGGAAAAAAGTACAATTTCTTATGTAACGCTTTCTACTCGAGCACATAAATGTTAAATAGGAGTACAACACAAAGACAAAATACATGCATATGGATAATGTACATCGTACAAGTGGATAAAACAAGACAAGTTGGCGATGTATCAATTACGAGAATCTACCTGTACAGTGGATAAATATTTAAACTATGTCGAAAATATTACAGTTTTGCAAATGTGAAAGAGACGTGGACCCTTGTAGCAGTAAAGAACATTGTACGTAATTCAGTTATCTCTTTAAATTTCTCACATAAACCATAATCCTTCATTGGGAAATATATATCGTAAAGGGTAACTCAATAAACAAGCATTCTAGTGATGCATTACAATTGATAGAGTAACAATCAAGATATCATCGACCAAACTCAAGATTGCGAACTTTTTTTTTTAAGTTAATTTCCCTTGTGGTCTTTTTTATGGTTTCCTCTGGACGATCCTCTCCATATGGCGTTACAGCTTCATTTCCAGGCTTCGATTGTCGATACTATCGATATTTGTCCCATTTAAGAGAGTGACCTCAGTGACATTTTATCTTATTCATACCTATCAATTTCTTTTTGTAGAATCAAATTATCTTCATCAGTTATACGTTACCGTAAACTGAACTTATCATCCTGACATTGCCTGAGGGATCGAAGCCTGGAAATATATAGTTGGGGCTTTTTTATACTCAGTCGCTCAGTTCAAGTAAATAACTCATTCTATTCGTGCAATTCAAATTGATAATGAACTTTTTTGAAGTATTTTTTCCACTCAACCGACTTTCAAATGATTTTTTATCGCCATCATTAGAGTTCACAACGCCCCGAAGGAGGCTCAAATCTCAATGAAGAAATTTACAGCGACTGTTGTGTAGAAAGAAATCTATTTGTGATCGACTCGTCCTTCTGATGAAGCCATTCATTGAACGCGGCCGTTCCATCACAAGCCCACCAGGGCACATGTGATAACCCTTAACCCCATCAGCTACCCAATACACCTCACACAAGACGTTTACGTCAATAACGTGACGTGAGTCTTATACCCGAGCGGTCATTTATGACAGGCGATTCGCGCAAACATGTACCTCAGAGGCCCGTACTGTAACAGACATTTATATTCCCAGCGCTCTATATGCACTTACATTTTGTTCACTGAAACTCACCCTATGTTCATTCTTATCAAAAGTATACGTAACAAATCCTCGGGGATTCCGCCCTTGAGGAAGCTTTGGCAGAATTCTTCCACTTCGCAAAGAACGCGAGCTTTGAGTCCGCTCTGTTGGCAGAGTCATATATAAATGTCAAAAGAGGTAAGAAAGTCCGTCCATTCTGAATCGTGCAGTATGCTGTTCATGACATGAGTTGTCAGCTCGATGTACTGTACACTATTTATCATGTCCAACTCCTATATCTACCTACATGGGTCAATTGCTTTGTGCCTGAGTCCAAAAGCAAAACCAAGTCACCCAGGCCTGGCGATAATGTACTTTTAAAGCTCCTTTATGTAACTCAGTGCATTTGAGTTTTTTTGGATCCACAAGTCGTATACTAACATTTTGTAGTTCTAAATTCAGGATATATTTTAGTAGCTGTAGCAGTAATATTGTTGTTTAATGGTTGTTGTCATACATTGTGCAGTGTATCATATATGATTGTCGAGCAGTAAAGTTCATTCATTCATTCATTCATAGCAAAGGGCTGCTCGGCATCATTTCATTCCAATCAAATAGTGTCCAGACATAACAACATATGTGACTACTGTTAAACTGTTATTTTTCCTCCCATATCTCAACTTATTTCCATGTACTTAATGCGTAAACAGCATCACTTGGTGAGTAATCTATTCTAGAACCATCCCGAATGATCGGGCGCCATCTTGGATCCAACCACTCCACCCCTCTCCACCCCCAATATGGCCGAGCGATGACGTCACGTCACGTGCTAAAGCTTTACCCATCATGCTAGCACGCCGGCAGAACGTACTGCGTCTGCGCAAAACTATCACTTTTCACGGTTTCGTTGGGTTTTTGGTCAACGTTGCTTCAGAATTTTGCCTGTTGCAGACGATATTTTTCCGACATAACATTTTGAAACAGCTACAGACGGGACCTTAAACGACCTTATATGACCCGTTCTGCATAAGTGCTCATTATACCCCTCCCTATGTTTCCCCAGTCGGCTACACCACCAGAGACTTACAGTTCAAATGGAACGATGAGGAGGGCTCCGATCCGGTACAAACGTCGGACGATGTGGAACTTCCACAGTTCGAGATAGAGAAAACGGAAACGGCAAGCTGCCTGAAGGTCTACAGTACCGGTATGACATCATATCATTTACGTTAACAATTCGTACTTGCATAGTACAAGGAAGGATTAAAACTAATACGCATGACAAAGTTCCGTAAGCGTATGAGCTTTCAGACGGCATCCACCATCTTTCTTCACCTAATCACGAGGGCAGTCACGTGACCCGGGGGTTGAAAGGTCGGCACAGGTATGTGACGAGTGTGTTGTAGATGTGGGGTAGTTGGTGGCGTCCTTGGTCGCGGTTTAAGGATGGGGAGAGGGTCTGGTGTGTACTGCCTCTATTCGTACTTGCGTACTTGTGTGGGTGTGTTTGCCGTTTTCTTGAATGTTTCTTCGTGGGGCTTGATTGGGGCAAGCAGAGCTTGAAATAAGACTAAATGAACAAATTCTAATCGTTTACATGGGGTGGCTTCGTGACATAAGTGGTATCGTCTGTCTGGCCTTTTCAAGTGTACATAGCCTAAATGCACATTTGGCCTACATAGGAAGTGAATATGCAATTAAATTTATTGTCATTGTCTCCATCTGTTCTTACATTTACAACTGTTTTTAGAAGCGAGAAGAAGCAGAACCTGTACATATGTAGTTTTACTATAGATATATTTTAAGTCTACCATCACTATTTACCATGACCCGTACCTAGTTCGAAATGAGCGAAAATGTACAATAAAGGTCTTTCATTCATTCAATCATTGTCCAGGTCTTTACACGTGTGTGGAGGCCAGGTTCTACCTGAAGCGGCAGCTGAGTTACTTCATGATGCAGACGTACACGCCCACCATCCTGATCGTCGTGCTGTCCTGGGTGTCCTTCTGGATCAACATGGACGCCGCGCCGGCCCGCACGGGACTCGGCATCACCACCGTGCTCACCATGACCACCAAAAGCACGGGGTACGTACGCAGTCTGTGTTGTATCAGGGATTGAGCTTTATCCAGAATCATGCTCAGGCAAGGCTCTGGATACCTTGTGGATAGCCCACGTGTACCCAGAACCTTGCTTTACCCAGCAAAATACTCAAGCATGAATCTGGATAGCCCACGAGTATACAGAATCGTGATTTATCCAGAATCATGCTCAGGCAAGGTTCTGGATAATCTACGCGTATCCAAAACCGTGCTTTATCCCGAACCATACTCAGGCACGACAGAGAAAAAGCATAAGTTTCACCTTCATTTGTGGAGTAGCTCAACAAACTACTGCTCAATTTATTCTCACTAAAACACGTTCATATTTATGGTGAGCAGCCCAACCAGCTCTGTCCTGCAACTTGCTACATAATGTGTTCCAACACTACCGGGTGTCTGCTACATCATCAGTTACCATGGCGACAGCCGTCTGGTCCATTTTGTTTGGAGAAGAGCAAAAACAATATTATCGCATGTTTTTCTTCTGCGACGGTAAACATAATACGTTTTGTCATCAAGCCGTGTTGTTCGTTCCAGGGTGTCGGCAGATCTGCCGAAGGTGTCGTACGCCCATTGACATCTGGATGGCCGTGTGTATGATGTTACTATGTTTTCCGTTCCAGGGTGTCGGCAGATCTGCCGAAGGTGTCGTACGTCAAGGCCATTGACATCTGGATGGCCGTGTGCATGATGTTTGTTTTCGCCGCGCTGCTGGAGTTCGCGGCAGTGAACTTCACCGCCCGGCTGCAGAAGGTGGAGGTGGAGAAGTGGGGCAGGAAGTTCAGCCGGAAGAAACAGCCCCAAGTTCAGGTACGGGTCCAGGTACGGTAATGAATGGATGATTTAAGTAACAAAGGAAAGAATGAATAGATGGAAGGATGGACAATACATAATTTACATAAGATAGAGATACATAATACATGCAATACATACAATACATACTACGAATGATTAAAGAAGAAACAGCCCCAAGTTCCAGGTCCAGGTACGGTAATGAATGCATGATTCAAGTAGCAAAGGATTGCATGAATGAAAGAGTAAGTGATATAGTGAATACTACTGCAGTTGCGTGTAAAACGTCAGATTCAGTTCTCAGCATACACAGTTAAGAATTAAAAATGAAGAAACATCCCCAAGTTCAGGTACGGGTTCAGGTATGGTAAAGACAGAGAAAAAAAACTTAGAAACTTGGCAATTAAGTTAGGGTAAGATAAAGGCGGGTCTGAGTGGGAGATATTCATGTGCCGAAACTAAAGGTGCGGCGGAATTTATGGGCCAGGATGAGTTTAGTGACGGTTATGGATGTGGTGTGGTTGTACTGGATGCATAAAACAATGCGGTATCGTCAGCTGCACATAACATAACTTGACCATGCTTGATGAAGATAATGTACAAGATAAACAAAAATGGCCCCAGTACCAACCCTCGTGGAACTCAGGAACAACAGAGATGTCCAAGAAGCCCATTTACAACTGTGGACTGTTGTCTGCCGCTTAAATGTGAGCGGAGCCATTCCAGCTAAGTGTCTTGGACCCCATTGATTCAAACTTTCAAACTTGGCAATTAACTCAGGGTCAGAAAAAGGACCGTGAAAAAAATCATGATTCCCCTAAAGGTGCGGCGGAATTTATGGGCCAGGATGAGTTTCGTGACGGTTACGGATGTGGTGTGTCTGCTCTTCCCCCCGCTCGGGGAGCGTGGATCCATCCTGTACCCGGCAGCGCTGGGTTTCAGACATCAGCGTCTAGACATTGCAGAGTCCCCGTAACCCTTGCCGTGAGCTATCATATTTCTCACCACTGATGTTTCAATCGTAAAGGGGAAATGCGAACCGGTGTTGAGCCAAATCCCTGAGCTGCCACATACGTGAGAGGGTAGGTGTTTAGGGCTAGGGTTGGTATTAGAGTTAAGGCTAGGATTACGGTTAGAGTTAGGAGAGTCATGAGAGTTAGGGTTAGGGTTAGAGTTAGGGTCAGAGTTAGGGTTAGGGTCAGAGTTAGGGTTACGGTTACGGTTAGGGTTAGGGTTAGAGTTAGGGTTAGTCCGCCGCAAGAGACAGAGGGGTCTGGAGACAGCTGTCCATCCTCGCTTCTGCCTTGTCCCCCCAACGACCAGGAGGGCAAGGGACAAGGTAAGTAGGTAGGTAGTGTAAAAGTTGGGATCATTGTTCAGGTTTAGACTTACGATTGGGGTTAGGTTAGGTTTAGTCTCCCACATCACGACCAACCCCCTCTCACCCCTTGTCTCAGGTATAGTGGAAACCCCCAAGTAGTGTCGGAGTCATGTATATGGCAGGATCATGTATTTGCATTGACACCAGGGAGCGCAACTTCCTGCCCCGAGTCGACAAATTGTGTCCAATTTTCGGCCACGTCGTGAGATTATTGAGCGGAATCAGGTGGTAGGAGCGACCCCCGGGCCTGACTAATACCGCGCGGTGTTCAATACAGGTTACCGCGCACATCCATATACGGAACAAAACTGCTTCGCTTGATACCCAGGAAATTACGGCTGGGTCAAGCCCGGCCAGGTTTTACGATATCTATCTAGAGTCCGCTATTAATCTGGTTCTATTAAGAACTTTTAAATGCAAAGGGTCGAAACCGGGAGAAGGTCTATGTTTGCAAGAACAGGCTTGTATTGATTTCGGATAGAGGGGGAGGAATTGCAGCTCTAACAGTTTTAGGAGTTTGGGAAAGGGATGAAATTACAACACGGGAAGCCAACGGATTGATAGAGTTAACGTCCTGTCACCGTAACGAGACAAATTTGTCGCAACTGACTCTTCAAATTAATGAGTTTCATAACTGAGACTGACATGACGGAGTGATGGCTAAATGATGAAGTATGAATTCTTTATACGACTCCCCTGGTCATCTATTTTATTCCTTGGAGCCGGGTAATCAGCTAAGGAAGAAAAATGTGTCACAGAGCGAGACCAGACGGATAGGCAGGGGACCGGGGTCGGCAGTTGGTCAAATGAGTCCGCTTTACGCTCGGGTCGATAGTTCTTCATTCATTAATGGGCCGTGATGAAGGATGGGCAACTCGGCCCATGGAAGCCAGTGGTTCCAGAACGCTGACATGTATCTGAAAAGATGACAGCTCGGCAGGATCAATACTGAAGTCATTCATTCTCTATTTAAGCCAGTTTTACGTACGCCGTGAGATCTGCCTACTCAGTATTTATTAAATATTGCAACACCTGCCATGCATGATATATCAAGCGTGTTGGTGAGTTTCGATGGCGATAATTATATTAAGTGAACGAATGAATGAATGGAGACCTTCATTGTACATACATACCAGCTATTGGCTTAAGCACAGGTCACAGACAGAAGAGTAGCTCACATACTGTATACTAGCACAGTAGCGAACACGTTAACGAATTCTTGATAACATTCATTTTTAAATGACTGGTAATTCGAACCTGAAGAAGGCCAACTTGTTCGCGTGCAGTTATTTGAGTCTTGTATGTGAACTTTTTACTAAAAACTGTCTCTGAAACCGAAGATGAATTATATGAAGAGAAGTCAAACCCTTCAGACATAGTTTTAGCCAATTAGATTTCATTATGTACATTTCATTATGTTATTTTATACTCTGTTTCAATGTTTTGTATGTTTGTAACTTGCAATTAGCCTTTGGACATGGATTTGCAATAGACTTCTCAATATGTGAAAGATATAAGATTAACTGTAAGAATTTGTTTCCCAGACAGAAACAAACATTAAATTTTCATGATCTAGTGCTCATTTCGGTCACCAATTATGTGAATATGACATAAAGATTAATTATGTGAAAGATATAAGATAAACTGTGGGGTTTGTCTCCCGGACAGAAACGCTGCATAGGGATTCAGAAGAACATCGACGACGTGCCTCCCAACTACACGGGACTCATCCTCGTCGACAGCCAGGACCCTCGGTGGGAACAGGTACCGGTCAAAGTAAGCTTAGAGTTCGGCAACATCTAGCCTGGTTACCAAAGCTATTATAGCTCCCGAGTCCTACATAGTCTTCGCAAATAGGTCTGGACCCGGACCACATGTAGTCTCTACCAGACTAAGTACGCTGGCTATATATAGGAGAATATTTGCCTGGGGAGTTTGACCGCCTTGTAGGTTTGACTGGCCTCGCAGAAAATGAGCGGGTTAGTTTTATTGCCTTTCATCGCACCGACTTTCCACAGGCCATCGGAGGGAAAGAAACTACCTCCCCGCGGCCGGACTCCCTTGGCCAATTTTACTCTCTTTTTTTGCCGTATTCTTCGATCCGTACTCCCGTAGAAAGGCCTGGTGTAGACTAGACTACATGTATTTGCGGAGAGGATGTAGGACTCGGGAGCTATAATAGGTTTGGTAACCAGGCTAGGCAGCATCACACTCGTCCTGGGCCGGTGTACGACTTGGGTGTCGAGAATGGCAATCTCCTAGCGGATCATACGGTGGCAAGGCAGTATCCATTGGCAAGATAGAGGAGTGTCCCTCGGTGGCTAATGGACACCCCTCTGGCCAATGGATATATTGCCTTGTCACAGTATGAACTGCTTGGAAAGTGGAAAATGGAGGGTTGCAGTAAAACACAACCAAAAAAGTTTAGCTTGAGAATTCGAAGCTTTCGAACGTATTCGTATGGTCTTCTACAACTAAAAATCTAACAAAGCTACAAACATGTAGCCATCCCACGTACAGAATCACAAAAGAGCTAAATCTTGTTCTGCTATCCCAAGAATGCCCTCTATTTGCGATCGTACGACGGTTTTGCGACGAATGTGACTAGCCCATTAGAGGTCACATTTCCAAACCGGGGCCCGGCTGGGTAGCTTTCGGGAACGAAAAGTATGTTATAAAAGAAAACACAAAAACTTATAGAAGCTAACCACGAGTACTATTTGTGTTATATCCTTTATATGAATTGCTAATTTTTGTGGCGTAGCGGCATAGTGCTCGACTCGGAACCAAGAGGTCCCGGGTTTGAGTCCTGGTATGCCACCTTTGGGAAATGCACTTTACACGACTTTCCTCACTTTGCTCAGGTGAACATGAGTATTGTATTGTCCCCTGTGTTGATGGCGGCATTAATATAAGTTGAAGTTGAACTTGAGTGCGCCGTCACCACGTCTTGTGAATACATTTTGGAATATTACAAAAAAAATTCGTTGACGCAAACATCTCGGCCTAGCCCCGGTTTGGAAATCTATGACCTCAGCATAACACTGCATTATTCAGCCCTATGTTTATCCCGATAGGGGACTGGGAATACACAGCGGTCTCGCCCCTCCCAGATCAGTATTCCTGCTCCATTATCCCCTTGAACTTGACTGGTGACTGCACAGTAAAAGGGCACCGAGTGCAGGGTGGAGCGGGTCTTATCACGGGGTTCAATTACCCGTCGGAAAAGTTACGGGCTTGACCTTTCGGCGAAATCGACTCTAGGTGACAAGAATGGGCAAACAGTCGACGGGTAATCTGCAGTGGATTTGTCACGGGGTTTGTTCTGTGGGAGGGTTAATGTTGCACGCGCTGATACTAAATTAGATAACAGGGAGGCTGAGATATTACCCAAGGCAATCCCGGCCGTATGGTATGCTCCGTGAGTTGCCATGGCTCCTCGGCCTTCCTAAGTGTCTGCGTACGTGAAGGAGATACTGAAGTATCTACATTACATAGCTAGACAGTATCGATTGTACAATGTAGTTTAAGTGTCATCTATATGTTGATTATATGTATGGACTCCATCTGCTGTTTGTTGTCATGCTTTCTCTATAGTGTTTTTATTTAAATGTTTTGCGCTACTTTTCCAACTTATTCAGGGAGAGGATTTCCCTTCTTCATTACTTGGGTTTGTTCTTAGCGCAGTCTGTGTCTTTCTTTCCTTTCTCTCTCTCTCTCTCTCTCTCTCTCTCCCTCTCTCACTCTCCCTCCCTATCTGGTGAAAGATGTGCGTCTTTTTCATCTTTCTTTCCTTCTATCTCTGTCTATTTATATGTTCACACTGACTATGCCTTCAAGCTGTCGTGAAAGATATTGGACGCTGTGAGCTTGTCGTGTGTGTGTCGTGACCATATTGTGAATGTTTCCACCCTGTCGAGAATATGTCGTACGTCGTAATATCATCGCGTGTATGTCGTGAGCTTGTCGTGACCATGTTGAGACTTTATCTCCCCACTGTCGTGAAAGACGTCGTACGTCGTAAGTTTGTCTTTTGCCCCAGATGGAGACGAACGCGAACGAGAACGAGACCAGCTTCACCTACAAGACCATGGGGGTGGCCCCCCTGATAGCGGAGCGGGAGGAGGAGGTCAAGGCCCCTCCCCCCAAGCCTGCGGCACCTCCGGGTCCTCCGGAGACGTTCAGAGACAAGGCTGAGAAAATAGACGCCGTATCCCGGATCGTCTTTCCCATGATCTTCCTACTGTTCAACATCGGATACTGGTCGTCTCTGCTCGCCATGTTCTGATGAGGTGGTTGAAGTATACATGGCTTTGCAGTTGAAGCGGTCACACCTAGCAATATGTAATAATTATAATAACATTTTCTCGACACATGAGAAAACATGATAGAACTGTGTATGAGATGATGAGGACTAAAGCGGCCACCACGCGTCTGTTTGTGCGGTCTGGTCGTTATAAATACGAGCGATACGCGATCATTTCGTCTGCTGCTTCCACACGGGGGAAAATGAACTTGAGAACTTGAGAAACCTGAACTTGAGAAACTCACACTGACTGTCACTTCGGCGGGACAGTTTCCTTGTACATGAAGTTGAGAGTTAAGATACCAACTATTGCTTCTACAGACTTGATCTTGTTAACGGGTCTACTGGTTTACATTAACGACACAATAGGTAAAAAAATCATTATTTCAGTAGCGTTGTTGGATAGGGTTACAAGTCTTAGGAAACAGGCAAAGACCATCTCCGGGTTGTAAGAGCCAGGGGAGGTTAGTACAGGAGAGGCTAGAAAACCCGCTACGTCATAGCGTTAGGCTAATAACACCGTAGAAGATCTACTTAAGCCTCATATATATACATAATTATACATGTGTGTAAGGGGATAACGTTTACGAAATTTAATTAGTCTTGCTGCCAAATCTTGCGATAACAGAGCAACTCTCGCGTGAACAACAAACTCTCGCGTGAGCATTCGACAGGCTACAACCAGGAGACCCTATTGTAGCAAATAACAGTGCAATAATAATGATGATAATATTCAGAATCCTTTCGCCACAACAGGTAAAATAGCCAAGAGGGTTCGGGCGATTCTGTTTAGGGTGGATTCTGTCTATAGTATTGTTTTAGAAACGGGAAGAAGTCGCATTTCATCATGAACGTTTTGCTTTCCCGGTGAGATCGGTCTGTTATAATTGGAACCTGTTTCTTGTACCCAACATGGCGGGAAGGGATCGATTTTCCTAGCTGTTTAATGGCAAGTGCAATAGATAGATAGCCTCGTTTCACTGCCCTTAGGCCACAGTCTGCTAAGCACCGTCGCACGTGATAGAAGATGTAATCTGAAATGATTGGATCGTGAGGGGCCCAGGCTAAGGGCTGTTAACGCTACTCGGCAATAAATGAAACCGATCGGGTATTCATAAAAACTCAATATATATGCAAGGTCGGCGATCTGCGCAGGAAATATGCGTCCGGTGGGGAGAGACTGGCGACGGATCGAAGCAGGTTTGGGCACGTTTCCGCCGCTGGGAAAGGTAGTTACTGCAGTAGTATCTTAATAAAGTAGTGCAGCATAATTCTACATCACACGGCACATTTGTATAGACATTACACGTTCAGAGATTCATATGCAATAAGAACCTATGTGAAGAAAAAAAAAGATAAGATAATTCTAAAATCTACAAAGTAATCTGATATTTCATGGATGTTAGAATCAATGTGATTTCAAGAGTTAAATAAGGAAATTATTCAGTGTGTTTTAAGCTGTAAATAGTTGGTTTCTTTTGCAATTTGTGTGTCTAGAAACCTCAGTCTTCTTTTGTAGCTCAGATGCATGTTATAAGATGCTTCTTCGTCCTGGTTGACCAATAGACGACATGTTACCTTGTCTATAAAACAAACTGCTGTGAAATGTCGCTACTAACAAGAGAACAATCATGTGAAGCCATACGATATGAGAGTTATTATAATAGCCATTAAAATACATTCTATGGAGATGATGAAATATCACAATAAACGTTGAAATGCTCCTTTCACTTCATTCGTCTGCTGAACATTTTTTGTCTTTTTTCTTTTATAAAGTTAGAAAATTAGTGATAATATTTTATTACTTAGAGTCTAGATTGACGTACGTTAGTAAGGTTATTGCGTTTACATCATCTGCACATGCCTCAAGTAAATGCCATGTTTATCCTCACTAATGTTACCTACAGGCAAGAAGTAGTGAAAATACTTTTATACAGTCTTGGCTTAACTAGGCTTATCTATGAAAAATGCCTATAACGTTACTGTTTTAATGAAAGTTGTCATCTACCAGAGTTACTTCTTGAGCACAATCAATATGGTTATCTACGTCGATGAAGGTTAGACATCCAGGTACGTAATACGATACGCCAAAAAACAGTTACTCAAGCCAACTGGATATGATTTTGAAAACGTCAGACGTTTCAGCTAGTATCCACTAGCTTTCGTCAGTGACTAAAGCTAGTGTCACTGACGAAAGCTAGTGGATACTAGCTGAAACGTCTGACGTTTTTAAAATCATATCCAGTTGCTTGAGTAACTGTTTTTGCCAATATGGTTATCTACCACTCAAACATTTCGAGCATAACATGTGCATGATTCTTGTTGTTGTTGTTGTTAGATAAGTCAAGATCTGACCACGTACTAAATTGCATACAAATCTAACCACAGCTTCTTGAGTTTTACTGTTCAACTACAAACACTGTTAGAAAAAACTATCCTACCAAATGCTCGAATAACCTTCGGACAACCTTGAAGAAAATGAGATCGCCAAATCATAGCAGCCATGAAGTGCGTGGAGAGACTAAATGATCTCCTTTGACTAAGGAAAGAACACTGAAAAATTGGACCCTGAAATGTGTCGTAAAAATATCAACAGGGCAAATCTTCCTACTAGATTTGGCATTACTAGGATCTTGGGACCTAATCATGATGCACGATCCGTAACAGTAGCTCGTCATTCCGTATCCCCCGATTCGGCATGATTGCTTAGCTTGCTGCCGTGTCCTACCGTTTTATTGGACATATCGATGTTTTCTGGGGGCTAGTCCATTATCAAAACTAGGGGTGAGTTGTCGGCAGAAAGCGGACATGAGAGAATGTAATTTTGTTTGAATTGTAACAACACAATGCACAGGGGAATACCATTAAAATTGAAGAATGAGTAAGGCAGATATCTACCTGTACATTGGGGTGGCGAGAGTCAGTGAGCTAACAAAAAGTGGTTCCAACGAACGTCATCAAAATATAAGCTCATTTTTGTAAGTTTTGTGTGCTCTTTACCCTTTCAACAACACTTTTGAATCGTGGATTATATCCAAGTTATAAAGTCACAGGTCGTACAAATCCAATCTTGGATGCTCATCCATCTCTTTAGAATGGAAGGGTGGGGGTGGGGGGTGCTTCACAAACCGAACTGCTAGAAGGTGACCCTTACGTATTACGAAACGATGACCTCTGTGGGAAGTAGACTGGCCTTGGACAAAGTAAATCGATCTTGGAGAATCGAACCGGTTCTTTACGTATTCCGGCCGACGTGTGAGGCGCAATATTCGCTCATTGGAGTGTCTAATGGGACCGAGTAATGGTCGATCTTATATAACGAGGAGAATAACAACCATGGAACCGTCCGTATCGTGCCTTTCCTCGCTGTTGAATGAATGGATGAATGAAGGAAGGAGGGAAGGGAGAAAGGAAGGAAGGAGGTAGGGAAGGAGGAAGGAAGGAAGGAGGGAAGGAAAATGAAGGAAGGAATGAAGGAAAGAAGGAAGGAAGGAATGAATGGATGAATGAATGAGTTTACAACCCTTTACACTACAGGCTGCGACCGCTGAGCGAATAAAACTTCGACAGATGGCTTAACGAATGTTTTTCGACGTTTTGTGCGTTATGTTGCCTTTTAAATCATAATTGAACGCAATACATCATGTACATGTAGTATTCCCATTATATATAGCATCCAGGGTAACACAAAATAATCCAATTTTGGTCGTTATACACTTCTCAGCAAGGGGGCTGTGCACCTTTCTTTGGGGAAATTTTCTGCAGGTAAAATTCGCTGATAGTGATTCTTATCAACACCTGTAAACTTTATCAGTTCTTCCACACCTTGCGCCCCGCAGAATTACGTCATCTAAAGACGGCGTTTTGATATTTTAAAGACTCTCGTTAAAATGTCGAGAGTCGTTTGAAGCGTGCAGTGGGGCCTAGGAAAAAAGTGTTGTGTTTCCTGTTTCCCGACCGACCCAAGAAAAATCTGCCGACCCTAGACTTTTTTCTGGATCCCTGCAAGGGACATGAATTTTTTTTCATACTGATCGAACTTTAATGATCTGACACCTGAGTGATGAAACCTTCTACAATCCATTTTCCAACATTGACATTGAATATAGATCTGAAGTGTCATCATGCAAGTTTCAAGTTTTCAAGTCATCAAGTTTTAAACTGTATTGTATAAGTTGGAACGCTAGATATTGTCTAAAAGTCGACTCCAATTTTTTCAAAACCAAAACAGGAAACACAACATTTTTTCTAGGCCTGAAGGATGGAGGGTGTTGGAGAACGTTGACTTGTATGGTTATCAGAACAGTGGTGACTATCGCTCTTCTCTCCGACAATAATCTTTAGAAAGTGTTCTGACAAGGCAAAACGAAAAGGGTCACTGATAGTCAAATCTCTCAGGAAAACGGAACAGAATGTCTTAATCCATTATAAATCATAATCGTAAAGCACGGAATATGTAATAACTACGCATAAAGCACGACTTTCTAAATTGTAAATAATACGAAACTAATTCGCTTACAGTGTACGAATATACGTATCTTCTTGGTTTGGGTTGACGTACGGAAGTAATTAAAAACTTTGTATTTGACGACACTTTGTGTGTCTGTATATAAAACGTCAAAATTTATCATGAATCAGCAGTGTACAGCGAGGAATGTGTAATAACCACTCATAAAGCAAGATTTTCTGAATTGTACTGTGTACAGTGGAGTGACGCCCACCGCGTCTTTTGGCTAATCGTTGATGCTGTGTCTTGATGAGGGTTTTGATGTCACCAATGTGCCAAGATCTGCACATTTGCCACCAAGAACCGTACATTTTTTGTTCAAGTTTAGATATTAATAAGAAACTACTTTGCTTATTGTGTACGTAAGTAATTAAAAACTCTGGTATTAGACGAAACTTTTGCCTTGGTTGTATCTCCAACCTGACGAATAAATGAATGCGTTGTTTCATTTCATAGGAACAGCTATAACGTTACTCCGTCCCAGACCAGCCTTAAACCACTAAAGTAAAAGATTGCCTCTGGCGGCACGACGCAGCGCACTTTTACAGCTTCTGACACCCAGGCTGACTGTGGATTGCTCGCTATCGGCAGATATTCTAGGCCTACAAATGCTGGTTTCCTGTTTTCCGACCGACCCTGCATTGTACCACAGTAAATGGAGTCAGTTCCGACTTGTAGTACTGTTACGCTATTCTCATATCTTTTATTTAAGATTTTACTTAGTACCACTGACTTTTAATATTTTATTCAATGTAATATACGTTTCGTGAATCAATGTAATTTTATTGATAGGTGTAGCAACGTAA